AATTTAACTAAGAACTAATTGGTGCGCAATATTTTTGGTTAACCATTTTTTTGCTAATATAAATAGATTTGATGGCTTCCCCACATGTGAGCATGCAACATATAGTTGCCCATGGGAAAAACGTGCATTTTTCAAGTCCAAGTCACTAATGGACATTGTTTGTCCTTGAGACTTGTTTATGGCCATTGCAAATGCTAAACGAATAGGAAATTGAAGTATTTTAATTGGTATAGAAGATTCTGATGGTATCATGGACCTATCATGAATAGACCTAACCTATCATGGAACGTCTAACTCCAAAAGTGCGGATAAGGAATAAAATGTTGTACTTACTTCAGTTAAATGGTTCAAGGTCTTTAATAGAAACTTCACTACACTTACACTGCACCAAATAATACTGATGAATACGTCGTACCAAACTTCGCATTTTATACCTTTGAAGATTGAAATTTCTAGAACGAAGCTATAGGGAACATTTTATACGACATCTCCCCCTATTCTCAAACATTGTGGATCTTTCTAGACAATTCTATAACTTTCTTTTTCACAATTATTGCAAAGTAAAAATATTGAGGGCCTCAATCGAGATAAAAACTTTTCTGTATATTATGATATCTATATATTTATAATATAATATATATTATTAACTATTCTATATATTATGGAGATAGAAGATAGTACATAGATTATTGATGGATTGTCGAGTTTTATTTCTTGGAATGATTCACATCTATACGCCGCTGACGATAAAACACACACAAAAGAAAAAAGGTCAGGTCGCAGGTAGCTGAAAGCTCACTATCAATAGTTGTAAGCGATTGAGGGATAAAAAATATTTTTTAGAAATCCAGAGAATGCATTTGAATAAACGATAAAAATACAAAAAATCATTCCACCTTAATTTCTCTATAAATATTTGAAATGGTAAAAACATAAAATATTACTGCGAGTACTCAAATCTAGAATTCTAACTGCCAGTGAAATCTGTAATTACAGCGACTGTTTCCTTTGCTGCAAAATCGATAATCCAGCGATACTATATGATTAAATAAATAAATTAGAAATATATTTAACGAAAAAATGTAAAATAAAAATATTTACTTACACACCTAATAATATTGTTTTTAATTGAAAACGCTGATCGACAAGATTCCGACTGATTTCTTTTTCTAAGCAGTCGGTTTGCTAAGAAACTTTAAACCTCGCCACTATTAAATCGAAAATACAATTATGGAGGCAAATATCACTTAGCTTGTCAGTTAAATATTTGAACAATTTTTTAGTGTACTGATGATAAACTATATTGTAGATCGTGATTCATACAACATAATATAATGGAACACATATATTTCAATCAATTGCATTATTTGATAATGAAATATTATAAGGTAAGATTTAGTGTATTCCCATTTTTAAAAACTTGATTACCAATCTACTTACAATATATTTTTTGATGATACTATATAATCATATAATAGATTTGAAATGACACGATTGAGGTGTCAATTGAACTGTGAGCTGTAACATAGTCGGAAAGTTTATTTGAAAGTTTTGTCATAACCTTATATAAAAAAAAATCATATCATGGAACCTATCAACGAACTCTTATCCGAAGGCTAGACATTTTATATTTGACGCAGTGGTGGGCGATAACATACACTTGTGGGTACCATGTTATATAATATATTGTTTTATTCAAATATGTATTTTTTCTCTGACCGAAGGAAATTAAAAATAATTTATACTAATTAACGATGGACCACTCAGAATGTTTTTGTAATTTCTCTCTTACATCAAATGTATGATTACCTGCTATACACTGTTGTAACGTCTGAGTACTAGCGACCTCTCCCAAACACTACAATACGTGTCTTATAAATGGTTTTTTTCCGTTTATTATGTTAGTTTTTTTTTAACTGCCCGTGACTAAATAAACATGAATATATGACGGTCATATATCAGATGTGTCCTATATTTCTGTTACACCTTGTGGCTTGTATACTTTACGGATCATTGTTTGGTACTTATATACCATTATAATATGTCATACCTAGTCTTTTCACTCCCATTTTCGGTACATTTTTTTTGTATTATAACAGCATATCGGGAACACCGACCTTCGGAATAATATCTATACAATATATTATGTATAGGCCGTGCGAACCTTCGAAGGATACCCACACATCGGACGAACTACACAATGCGAACGGATCGCCCACGCCGTTAGTCAGTACACAACATTTAAGCCGACTAAACGAACAAGTGACCTAAAACCCACATCTACGAATTTATCACTAATATAGAAAATATTATGTACTATATGCGAAGTTGTCCAACACGTGTGCAACTTGTGAAATATAAATTATAATTATTTTTTATAATTATTAATAATAAAATAAAATACTACATATTTAATAGTCAAAATATAAAATACCATATAAGACCAACCATCAACCTGGTTCAACTGATAACTTAAGTTAGTTTTCTAATACGACTATAGACATCTGTGGTTCACGGAGCCGGAATGATATAGATAACATAATAATATTATGTATTGTTACGTTTATTAAATTATCGTCTATCACTAGTGGTATACTTTGTGTAATTGTGTATCCGTAGTGATAGATCAGTACCAAACGGGGGAATGTGAGAAGATTTGGATGTTCGACAAGGCAAGTAGTTATACCGAGTATAATTCAACGTATATTTTAAAATGTAAAATAAAATGTAATATGAAATATTTTACTTTACCGATGACCTGGCAGCAACAATACACGGAGCAAGTGGTGAGACGAGACTAACTTCGTTCGGCTGACGTGACATTCGTCAGCCGAACGGTTATTATAAATTTTGTTTACTATACAGAATAGTTATACATATAGCTATATAGCTTTACTCTGTGATATTACAGAATGGATAAAAGATGACACGCGCATCTATGATATTTGTATACTATTCGTAATATTATAATTATAAAAATATGAAAACTGTAATGGTGTGGAACACCATTACAATACTCCCCTTTTATTTTAATTTAGTTGATTTCAGTGTTATATATATTTTTGGTTACTAAAGTATAAGTTATTTCTAAACGCGTGTCAAAAACATCCATAATGCTTACATAATTTAATTTGTATACATACAATGGTATATTTTGTTTTTGAGATGTCTGATATTGGTTCTCGGTTTAGAGTAAAATTTGGTTTCAACAACAAGATAGGTCTGTTGTTTACCAACTCCTTTTTTTTAAAAAAAAACTCTGCTCCTTGTAAATTGATATTTCCGTTGAACATTATACAAACTTCTTGTGTCGTTGTATGCTGTGGATGGCTTAAAAGAATACATTGTAAAAGTGTAATGCCTATATAATTTTTTTACATTTTTTTTAAAATTTTTTTTTTTTAAATATATTGTGCTGATCATCGGTTTTATTAATTTAAATGAGTAATGAAGATATTTATTAGAATTTAACTACATTTTAAGTTTGGGTACATAAGAGAATTAAATATTTTTCGGTGTTAACATAATTTTTTTGAAAAAATACCATATGTAAGCTCAATGTTTACATTCATTATACAATTTTTACAGTTACGCATTAATACATTTGAGTTATGGATTACAATATTATGAGTGTATTTTTTTATACAATATATATACATAATATTTTATAATAGTAGGTTAATAGGTTATATATTGGTTACATAAAAATTGAAAATTAAATACATGCATTACATAATTCTTTATTGACATTATTTTTTTTTTTTGAAGAAAAGTGCCATCATAATGTGTACATTTATATCATATATTTTACACATTTATATATTAATACATTTAAATAATGGCTTACAATAATTGATTACTTTGTACCCTAAACGATATTTCTTAATAAATATGTCTAGGTATTATCTACTATCAGGGCCGGCGGAAGAGGGGGGGCAAACTGGGCACCCGCCTAGGGCCTCGCACTTTTTGAGGCCCCGCGCTTTATGGGGCCTTGTGTTTTTATTTTTATATTCTGAGCCGAGCGAGGAATATATTAGTTTTATTATTAATTATGATTTATATTTATGTCCTGTCATTTCATAAATTTCTAAATTATTTACAACTAAATAAAAATTACAAGACGTACAATAATAGTATAGATTAATCTTGATAAGGAATAATCTCGAATTGTTTAATAATCATGGGCTTTACCCAATGTTTGCCTCAATCGATGAACACACGAGTGAATCAAAAATACCCGATAACTATTTAATTTTCTTTTGATGCATTGAACTGTCAGCAGGCGCGGTCATCGCTTTTAAAAAGCTACAATACGTAAGTAGCATTATATTTAATTATAATTTATAATAGATTATAGATAAGATATTTAATATTATTACAGTCATTATACATCTGTAAATATTTTATTTCAACTTTTTTTTTTACCGTTTTTTAAAAAAATAGTTTTTATTGTTTTATTTAGTATACCTAAATAAACTTTAATTTTTAAGCTGTTATTAATCTTACCAATAGATTTAGAAATTATTAGGAAAAGTATTACAGCGCATGTACAATAGAACTGTACATGCACTAACGTGTGATATAGCCTATCGTCGTCCCGTCTGCCCGCATCCGAGCGATATGAAATCTAATGTAATAGAATGATAGAGCGAAAGGAGTTTTTCACACTAAGGACTATTAATATTAATCATTTATCATTTATCACTAACACAAAAATTACGGTCAGCAATGACAAGATTAGAAATTGCCTACTTAGAGCCACCTTAATATTATATTAATTTATTTTATAAGTATTTGATTTAAAAAAAGCGAGCGCTCGAAGTTAAACAGACCTGACCTAGAAGAGAAGTGAGTCAACTTATTATAGTAACAAATTATTTTTTATTATTTAAATATAGAAATTGTTAAAATGAGTGGCCGTGATGGAGACAAGTATCGCTCACATCTATCAGGGCATAAAAAACGATTAAAAAACAGCAGCGGAAAATTTAAAAAAAATGAAAGGAAGCTTTCTTAAATACATAGATGAAACGTTACCCAAAAACCTTAAAGATAACAACACTAACACAACATCAACTACAATGGAAAATATTCAAATACAATCCCCTACATTACAAATAACTGAATCAGGTAAAGATCAAGAATACTTAGAGATTTCTGAAGTACAAACATTCTCTTATTCTGCTATAGAAAGTAATATTAATTTTTCTTTAGAAGACAAAGAAAGTAATATGTTGGATACAAATAACTTGTGTAAAGATGAAAAACTTAGTATAATAGACCCAGCAACTTGGACTGATAATAATATGACGCAACATATAAGAGCTGAAGTTGTTAAATTTGGTCCATACCAAGTGAAGGATTTTGATTTTCCATACTCGGTTATTGACGGCACAAAAACAAAATTCTCGAAATGTTATTACACAAGAAAATTGATAAATTGTGAAATTATAGAAAGACATTCTTTAGTTTACTCAAAATCGTGTGATCGGGTATTTTGTTTTTGTTGTAAACTTTTTTCTTCTTCTGGACCACAGCAATCCTTATTGTCAACTATAGGTACCAACAATTGGAAGTGTTTATCTGAAAATTTAAAATCTCACGAACGTTCTAGCCTACATTTAAAATCTGTACAGATATGGATGGAACTAAAGTTGAGAATTTCGGAAAATTCCACTATAGATAAAGCACATCAATCGGCTATAGAGAAAGAAAAACAACAATGGAAAAATGTGATGATCCGCATCATTGCCGCTATACAATATTTAGCAAAGCATAACGATGCTTTCAGAGGATCTTCAGATGTAATGAATACGGAAAATAATGGGAAATTTATAGGCATTATTGAAATGATGGGTAAGTTTGACCCAACTATAATGGAACATTTACGTCGAATAAAAAATAAAGAAACTCGTATTCATTATCTTGGTCACGACATACAAAACGAGCATTAGTTGTGGGTATTGAAATATCTCCTACTTCAATAGTTCCTATATCGTTTGGATTTTTTGCAAAACAATTGTGATATTTATTTATTAGATTTTGTAACAATAACTTTTCTTGGAATTTTAAAGTGTGATTTATGTCTATATTAAGGTTTTTTATTGTAATTTCGTTCAGTATTTTTTCACTGGTTTTTAATGCTGGTTCAGCGTTTGTTGAAGGTGTGTGGGAACCGGTTATCTGTGGCACTTTAGTCACCGGTGTGACAGTGTCAACTTTGTGTGTTTTGATTTGATTTTTTATGTGTTGGTTATTAATTTTTAAATTTTTACTTTTATGCTGAAAGTGTTTTGCTATATCCGTTATTCTTGTTATTAAACTAGGTGTATCTGTTATGGATAAAAAATTAATGTATTTATTGTTTATTAAGTCGAATTTAATTCCCAGTCCAACTGTGTAAATTGTTCAGGAGTGATTTTTTTAATATTTTTTTTTGACTATGATATCGCAATATTTAGTTTCTATTATATTTTGAAATGTTTTTGGTGGTTTTACGTTTTTGCTAAATGTGAAGCAATCTTGTACTTGTTTTTGGTCTATAGTATTTAATATCTCACCTTAGGCGCTAATGATTTTAATATAAAATTGTCTAATTTTATTGTTGGGTTATTTGTTTTTCTTTTTAAATAGTATGAATATTCCTTATCTGCCATGAAATAATATTTACCATTATATAGCTAATTATTTTGTGTTTTATAGTATTANATCGATTAATCGATTAATCGATGCTACAGTCGATTAATCGAAACAATCGAACAGCCCTACTTATTATCATTTTCTATACACCATACAATTTGTATACAGCAGAGCGAGTAGTGACTTCCACTATCATCGTACACCCATACATTTATTTATGCAGTGTATGTATAATAAACATATTTTAAACAGTTTGAATACAAAAAACAATTGCTTCTATAATATATTATTATAATGAAAATTAAAACTTACCGTTATGCAATTGGAATTCAAACGCCATTTCAATAGCGCATTAACATTGCCCTTGTGTTTTTTCATTTTTGATAACAATAACTTTTTTTTTTAGAATTACCCATAGTGTTTTATTTATTTTTCAAAATATTTTATAAAGAAAACGGAATCATCAATTAGTTCAATGTAACTGTACACTTCACTGTAACTATACACAGGCACACAGCAAATGTGGTAATAATATTATCAAACGTCAGAAAATATAATAATCAATATTATATTATCCAGTATCTATTTTACTTTGGAAAATTGTCGATACTATCTATAAATAATTTACGTTTGACAGTCAAGCGCTGTTGACAGTAACGCGCCGGAATCGTCTAGTTTGTACACTTTCGCACGCGCACGCACATGTCACAGCAAAACTGCTACTGTTTAAAACAGAACGCATAGCTAATTTCCAACGTACCGATTAATCTAGTGAAGCGATAAGAATTCTGAAAACAGATTTGAATTTGTCGTCAAGTCTTCTTGAGATCGACTTTCCCACATTTTTGATTTTTTGATTTAACCTTCTCCAAAAATTGAAATATGTCAATTTTTTAATTACTCTTTTGAATATATCGTTTTTTAGAATTTTTGGAGGATAATATCAAAAATGTGGAAAAGTCGATCTCAAGTAGACTTGACGACGAATTCAAATCTGTTTTCAGAATTCTTATCGCTTCACTAGATTAATCGGTACGTTGGAAATAGAACACGTCTATAATCCTATGTTGCACGTGTGTTAGACAAAGACAGAAAATCGCCGCTTCCAATCCCCTTAAGGTATTTGTATAATTGAGCTAGTCGGTGTTTTCTATACAACTCATAAATAATAATATAGCCCCGGAACAATTCATATCTACACGCTGATAAAATACACACACAAAATAAAGGTCAGAGTACAGGTAGATGGAAACCCTCTGGTCGCCGTGCCGTACCGTATTTCCCGTAATCGGTCGACTGCTATTGTTATTATTATATGAAAATAGATATACAAATTACATGTAAAAATTTTCTTTTACCGATTTCAACCCTTTAAATTCAAAATTTCGAAAAATCCTTCCTTAGCGCACGTCTACATCATAATAGCTATCTGTATACCAAATTTCAGTCAGATCCGTCCAATGGTTTGAGCTGTGCGTTGATAGCAGTCAATCAGCTTACTGTTTTATATATACACATTTCTCTTTCCGTAAAACGCCTTCCGCCATTACTGAGATCCGAAATCAACATTTACAAAGTTTGCATAATATAGAATTGAAATACATGCACAGTCAATCACAATACCAGCAACCATATTTTTGTCATCAACAAAACATACCAGAGACTCACCCGAGTAACATTTATAATGTGCAACGTCGGTGCTTATGCACTGTACTTGAGTACAGTTCACACACCGTGCCACTGTGCGGAAAAAATACCGTATGAGTGCATAATGAAAGCCAACGTGCAAAATCTTACAGTAATATAAAAACCTAATAAACACGGTTCTCATTCAGAACCATGGTGAAAAATTGTTGTCGGTCACCAACAATGCCGAGGTCCTAGTTATTACCGTGCCCTCTGCGTTCATACGTTGAAAAGTGTTTTGCGCTTGTGAACCGTACTTTTGTAGTTAGTAGGTGCAATGCACGCACGGTATTTTAGTTTTTACAAAATATATTCTATAATATAATATATAAGAGCTATTATATACGTGTTGTGGTACCTATATCTATCTATTATATCTATTATATCTTACTAATGACTACTAGTGACTTACTGAACAATTTTTATACTTGAGGCACAACAATAAATTAAGTACTCACATCCCCAAAATATAGTTTTTAAACCCTATAAATATATTAATATATTAACTAATAATATTAAACTAACTAGTAACTACATATAGGCTATAACTATATTGACTATTGTACACCTCTTTAGTTTATAGCCTATATATATTATGTGTTAAATAATAACCGACATATTATATAGCCGAGTTCAATACCACTATATATTATCATAACATTCATTATAGTATATAAGTAGCGTAGGTACTTAAATAAAAATAATATTAATGTCAATATTTTAATAGTTAGCTTATAAATATATAATATAGTATTTTACCTACATATATTAATATATTATAAATCATTATTACCTATATAATATTATACATACAAATATATACATTTATGTACATATAATATCAAATATGACAATAGGTTCACTAACAGTACCAGCGTACCGATAATAACAGTGCATAGAAGCACGGCCGCACGTTTGGTGACATAACAATATTTATTACAATATTTATTTTTAGACGACGCCGTTTATTTATAATACCTAATTTTATATTATCATCAGTATTATCATAATATCATAGCGATATAATATTATAATAAACAAAAATTCATTATTGAATTCAATACCGGTACCTATAACATAAGCGGTCTTAAACTCTTAACATTTTATTTTAATACGTAATCGAAGAAATTCATAGTTGTTTCATCAGTCGTCGTGAATTTGTGAATTGTGGTACTGCACTCATCTGTTTTCTGTAGCTAATATTATAATATGTGATGTGCGTGATTGATATTATGAAGAATTGAAGACTATACTGAAGTACAACTGTGTGCTGTACCTACGTTATAATATATGTACATGCATTGATCTATAAAATTTGGTAAGTACTCGACCCATTATTTTATTCAATTTCTTTTTGTTTGTACTCTAAGACTTAGATGTAAACGTTATATTTATTTTTGATGTATACCTAATACATTTAGAACAGCGTTCCTTTCTTATACATTTTTGTACTTATTTTAACAATGTTCCTTATTAATGTTTCCTTATTAATCCTTATTCTTTAATATACTTTTGACCCAAAATAAGCCTTCCTAATTATGCCTTTCTTAATCGCATCACATACTCAGTTAAGAATTCAATAGCATGTCAAGCATTCTTTAAAAAAAAATTAACTATTGTAAAATACAAATCTAGATAAAAAATTTCTATATACATATTTATTTAGATAAAATGCAATATTTCATATTGATATTAATCTAGATGTTTATTTAGCTAGTAATATAATATTTATCTAGATATTATTTTTGCTATCTGAACTCAATATGCTGGCTGTAGTGCATAATGGCAACATGGCATAATGTGTTGATGAAGTGATTACACTATTTATTAACTCTAATAGTTATATATTTATTAGGTACCTATTTATATTCCAGCTAAGTTATAAAGTAGGTAAAATAAAAATAATTTAATAGGTAATCTAAACCATAGAAAAGATAGAAAAATAATTTTGTTATTAAAAAATGTAAAATTCATTAGGTTTCATTGACAACAATTATTTAAATCTTCTCTACATTTTAATAAAATATTTCTCTGGCATTATTTTGTACCATTCCCTCGTCCAAGCAAAATAAGTACCTAGTAGAGATACACTATAATAAAAATAAAAATACATAGATGTACCTATATATATTTGTTATTGTTTTACTTTTAATTAAGTAGGTAATATTTAAGTTATAATAATCGAATACCTAATTTATATCAATTTTTAGATTTATTTTACTTTCCTAATTTTTATGATTTGATTAAAATACCTAAATTTTTTTTCCAGATTTGTTCACGGTTTTAATCTAGTATACCTATACCATAGAAACATGTAAGTTTTCTCAATTCTTAATAATTAATAGGTTAGTTAATAGTTTTCATAATATTTAATCATGTTCAAGCAATTAAAAGTTAATAAAAGTTCTCGCTATCGTCGCCGCAAAAGAGCTGAAGTCCAAACTTCCTTATTATTTTCCACATCAAGTTCTGATGATGATTCAATGGAAGTTGGTTTATTATCAGGTTTTAAAAATCCTATATCTCCTCCATCACAAGTTACATCCATAGTTAATACCTCTCAAAAGACAAATTCTATTGATGAACCAGATCACCAAGAACCTAATAATACAGTTGAACAATTTAATGA